AGTTCATAGGCTGGATAGTTGAAATTTGTGTCTGTTGGAAGTTCAAACATGTCTATCAGGGAGTTTGTACACTGTAACTTTTGTTCTCAATGATCATTAGTGTTCCTCAGATAGCCAAGCATGTAGTGGTTGTTTTCTGAAGCAAATCTCATAATAAGAGATTTCCCTTATGGAACTCTGAGTTGTTTGCTGGCACAATGACATTGTTTACACAGAAGGAGGCTTCAGTTCACCCTACTCAGCAATGTATGCTTTCACTCAGAGAAGCATATTATCATGAAGTTGTGCCTGTGGAGTCTTTTCCAATGCTCAAAATTAAAAGTTTCAAACACCCACAGGGAAAATCATTGAGTTAAATGACTTACATGATTTTCCTACAGTTAACCAGTAGACCCAAAATAGCACTTCATTCCTGGAATAATATTGAAAATTATGTGACATTCTTTCCTTTAACTGGGACCTAGCAAGATTTCTGAATACAGTTAGAGTTGTCTGAGGAGTTTGGCTCTGCCGCTTAGTGGTAGAGAGGCTTGAAATTAGTGTTTGTGTGGAAGTAAAGAACAGTTTATGAGGGTGTTTCTAAAGTATGTTTTTTCATTCTCTAGGAATCTTGTGTGGACCAATAGGAGCTGGTGAAATTGAAACAGTAATCAAAAAACTACCAACACTCAAAAGCCCTGGAGCAGACAGTTTCACAGAAGAATTTTACAAAACATTTAAGGAATGGTTAACCCCTGTCCTTTTCTGTCTATTCCAAAAAAATCTAAGAAGTGGGAGGACTCCAAAACTCTTGCTATGAGGCCAGCATCATCCTAATCCCAAAACCAGATAAAGATACAGCCAAGAAAGAAAACTATAAGCCAACATCGCTGATGTACATAGACACTAAAATCCTAATCAAAATATTGGCAAACCGCATCCAGCAATACATTAAAAGAATCATCCACCATGCTCAAATGGGATTCATCCCAAGGATGCAAGGATGGTTCAATATTCACAAATCAATAAAGGTGATACATCACATAAATGAAAGGAAAGACAAAAACTACATTATCATCTCAATAGATGCAGAAAAAGCATTTGATAAGGTACAGCACCCATGTATGATAAAAAACACTCAGGAAAATGGGAATAAAGGGGGCATATCTCAACATAATAAAGGCCATATATGAAAAACCTACAGCCAACATCATACTCAATGAGCAAAAACTAAAATCTATCCCACTAAGATTGGGAAGAAGATAAGGATGTCCACTTTCACCACTTCTATTCAACATAGTATTGGAAGTTCTAGCCCCAGCGGTCAGACAAGAAAAAGACATAAAAGGCATTCAAACTGGAAAGGGGGAAGTAAAACTATCATTGTTTGCAGATGACATGATAGTGTACATAGAAAACCCTATAGACTCCACCAAAAAACTATTCTACCTAATACATGAATTTGGCAAAACAGTAGGATACAAAGTCAATATTCAGAAATCAAAGGCATTTTTGTATGCCAGCAATGAAATATCAGAAGCAGAAATCAGGAAAAAAATCCTATTTGCTATAGCAACAAGAAAAATAAAGTACCTAGGAATAAATTTAACCAAGGAAGTAAAAGACCTGTACACAGAAGATTATACAACACTGAAGAAAGAAATTAAGGAAGGCACAAATAAATGGAGGCATACACTGTGCTCATGGATTGGAAGAATTAACATCATCAAAATGTCCATACTACCCAAAGCAATTTATAGATTCAACACAATCCTTATTAAAATACCAATGATGTATTACATACAGACATAAAACAAACATTTAAGAAATTTATGTCGAACCATAAATGACCCCAAATAGCCAAAGAAATTTTAAGAAAGAAAAACAAAGCAGAAGGAATCACAATACTGAACATAAAACTATATTACAAAGCCAGAGTAATCAAAACGGTCTGGTACTGGCACAAGAACAGACACATAGATCAGTGGAACAGAGTAGGAAGCCCAGCAATAAACCCATGTCTCTGTCATCAATTACTATTTGATAAAGGATGCAGAAGCATAAATTGGAGTAAGAATAGTCTCTTCCACAAATGGTGTTTGGAGAGCAGGAGAGCTACATGCAAAAAATTGAAATTTGATCACCAGCTTACACCATACATAAAAATAAACTCGAGATAGATAGAAGACTTAAATATAAGTTGCGACACCATAAAAGTCCTAGGGGAGAACATAGGCAGGAAACTCTCAGATATCCCATGCAGCAACATTTTCACCAATTATGTCCCCTAAAGCAAGGGACATAAAGGAAAGAATAAACAAGTGGGACCTCATCAAAATAAGAAGCTTCTGCATGGCTAAAGAAAACATCAGCAAAATGAAAAAGGAGCAAACCATATGGGAAAATATATTTGCCAATGATACATCAGCTAGGGGTTTGATCTCCAAAATACATAAAGAACTCACACAACCCCACTCCAGGAATACATATAATCCAACTAAAAATGCGCAAAGAACCTGGGCAGACACTTCTCCAAGGAGGACATACACAGGGCCCAGAGACATATGAAAGGATGCTCAGCATCACTAGCCATCAGAAAAATGCAAATTAGAACCACAATGAGATACCACTTCACGCTGGTCAGAATGGCCATCATAAACAGATGAACAAACAACAGGTGTTGGCGAGGCTGTGCTGGCAAGACTGTTGGTGGGAATGCAGACTGATGTAGCCACTGTGGAAAACAGTGTGGAATTTCCTCAAAAAGCTAAAAATAGAACTACCCTTTGACCTAGCCATTCCACTGTTGGGATTATACCCGAAGAATCCCAAAACACCGATTCAAAAGGACCTATGCACCCAATGTTCATAGAAGCACAATTTACAATACCCAAGTGCTGGAAGCTACTTAAGTGCCCAACAGTAAATGAGTTGATCAAAAAACGATGGTACATTTACACACTGGAATACTACACAGCAGAAAGACAGAAAGACCTACTAACCTTTGTGACAACATGGATGAAACTGGAGAGAATTATGCTAAGTGAAATAAGCCAGGGGGCAAAAGACAACTACCATATGATCTCAACTATAAGTGGAGCCTAACCAACAAAACAAACAAGCAAGGAAAATATAACCAGCAATATTGAAAAAAAAAAGAAAGAAACCAACAGAATGAAGAGGGAAGGAAGGAGAGGGGTGGGGAAAGGGAAGGGAAGGGTCAAGTCAAGGAACATGTATAAAGGACCCATGGACAAATCCAAAATGGGAAAGGATTGAAGGAGGGAGGTGGGGAAGAGGGGCAGGAGAAAGTAGTGGTGGGAAGGTGGAGACATATGTATTTGAACAATTAAAAAATAAAAATTTAAAAATAATGACAATAAAATAGTTTCTTTTTCCCCATCTGTGGAGTGGATTTTCTGGGTTGACAAGAGACATTTTTATTTCCCCAACACCTTTCATCCAGAAAACTAGTGAGTGTGTGTGCACATATATACAGGGTGGGGCAAAAGTAGATTTATAATTGTAGTACCCAAAACACAGAGTTCATTCTTATTATTTATCAATTATTGAATTATCTTCTATATGAAAAAATAAAATCTACTTTTCCCCCACCCTGAACATATATACACTCAAACTCAAATATATGTACATTTTTTCCCAGGTATGAAGTTTATGTTTTAAAATTAATTTTATTAAGAAGTACAAATAGGTAGTTACAGTACAGCTATAGGGATGTAAAGTATATTATAGAAAATGGAGCATCCAAAAAACTTATATGCATGAACCATAGACATAAACAATGGTGGGAGGATTACCTGAGGGCGTGTGGGGTGTGGGTGGAGGGGGCAAAGGGAGAGAAATCAGGACAACATAATCAATTGCATAATCAATAAAATATAATTTAAAATAAAATTAATTTTATTATGAAAAATATTTTCATAATTATTTTGAATGGAAACACATGTCTACTGCTTGCACAAGAATCAATTGATGTCAAAATGTTACTGACCAGGAAATCAGCATGTGTTTAGTATCTGTTCTTTAGTGAAATGAAGTAGAATATTTTATACCATTAGAATAAAAGTAGAAAAAAAAAATTTCAGAAGAATGTGCATCTAACATTAAGCATTTTGCCCCCTCTTGGTAAGTGATATTGATAGGGGACTCAAGAGTATGAAAATTTTAGTTTAATGTAATAGTTAATAAGCTTAGTAGTTAATTCATGTAAAAAGCTGTTGTTTCAGGAACTACAGGTATGCCCTGTCCTGACTCCAGGAGACCACAAGCAATTGACCTTTGTGCTTCAGAAGAGGCCATAAGAAATCAAAGTGTTATTGGAGCCATTTTATTCCAGGGAGAGACAGTCTGCCTCCCAGGACACAGATAAAGAAAATGACCCATCAGTGGATGAAAGGATGTTAAGGAAATGGCTGGACTGCAGCTTTTATCTGATTAGCCTCTTTCCTGAATTCCAAATCTCTTACCTACAGTTTTGCCCCCAGGTCAAAAAAGGCTGGCTTGAAAGGAAATGTAAGACAGTCTGTTAGGGTACAAAACCACCGACTTCTCATATTGCCGGCCATTTGAATAAAACGTCCATAAAGACTGAATCCCTGTCTGTGTGTTGTATCTGGTAGGAGTCAGGCAGCATGAGCACCGGCTTTTCTGGTTTCAGTATGTGTAGCACTCGTGTTGTTTTGGCGTATACAAAATTTTCTTTATTACATGTTTTCCATATTATTTGAATAAACTTCAAAAGCTAGCATTCCTAAGATGAAGTCGGCTCCTGCAGGGTATTATTCTTTGAATGGTCTAATGTTCTTAGTTTCAAGTACTTTCTTTAACTTATTTATTAATATTCTTTGCACCACAGCTGGGTAGTTGAAAGAGTGTTGCCAGTTCTAATCAACTACCAGTATGAGTAAGGAGAGGAAGGACCAAGACTCCTACAAATGCTAGCAGCAGACACTCAGACCGCTAGAGAAAGCCAACCTCATGACGTCATGTGAAATGAGTTGGCAGCTGGGGCTTCAGGGGTAAGCATAACGCAGAACTAGGCGTGAGAGACTTCTGCGCATCAGCAATTCCACCTCCTTTCAGGGGTCGCCATTTTCTATGTGGCGCCCCAGCGGGGAAGGGACTCGGGGCCCCCTGTTCCGCAGGAGTCATACAGGACCGGGCCTAGACTCTGCGAAGTCGGCGGTGGAGGCCAGGCCCTGGCAGGTGTGCCAAAAGCCTGTCTGGGGCATACAGCCCGAGAAGGGGGATCTTTGTGTCCGCAGCTGCGCGCCAAATCGGAGGACGTGGAGTCGCCACCCCCTCTGAGTTTCGGACTGGCCTCTGAGGGGCACTGAGGAGGGAGCTGGGCAGTGGCCGGCGCAAGGCCGGTTGCCCGCTCGCCCGTTCTTCCCCGGAAGCCGCGTTTCTAGACCCGCGCGAGAGGAGCAGCCCCAGAGATCTGGCCGTGGGGAATCGCAGAGACTGTGCCCAGGAGCGGCTGCCTGTGATACGTCCCGGAGCCCAGCTGTGAAGCTTCAGGGACCTGGGCTCACATCCGGCGCCTGCCAGTAACCAAGAAATTAATCTCGGTACAATTCAGAGACTCGTCTGTAAATCGGTAATACTAATCTTTCGGGTCGTTTTATGTGTTAAATAGAGTGGAATACTTAACGTTTGATGACTCAATAAAGGCAAGCTGCTTTTGTTATTACAAGGTATGATGTTCTTTTTTTATAATTGGCTCATTTAATCCTTGTAATTATCATAGGCGTCCTTTGGATCGGTATTAATCACCTCCATTTTAATAAATTCGAATACTAAAGGTTCAGAGAGAGAAATCGTACCCAGCATTAGCAGATAGGTTTTAAATTCTCACTTGTTTTACTCTGTAGTTCACGCTGTTTTGCACACTAAAATCCAGTCTTGGATTGTATTTAGTACAGTAATTGTCCCAGAACCTAATTGTGGAGTGTAGTGAATTAGGACAACCAGATCTTACCATGTCTGTTCTATTTCAAAAATTTTTTGCGGCTTCCGTGGTAAAATGTTATACCTGCATTCTGCAACCTCTATTCTCACAAAATTGTTAAACGTGTAAATTAAAACCATAGCTTAAGCCCTTTCTTTTAAGTTTTACTGGGGAAACTGGGAATCCATCCTATCCAGGCAAGATGGGAAATGAGACAAACGTTTAAAAAAAATGAAAACTGCAATTTCATCCATGCCTCATATTATGAAAGTGATATAATGCCTCTTTTTGGATTGGCTGGGCTTACTAAGCATTTTGTAAGCACCAAGCCAACTTAACTAGAAGTGTTTCCGCTGCCTGTAGGAAGGATCTCAGCATTATGGACATCCAGGCATCTAGTTAACTTTTGCCACCTACACAAAGTGCCTGTTTGGGGATTATGGTACCAAATTGTTATTTTAGAAGTTAAATTTGTGTCATTGTCAGCAGATTAGGTGGCCATGTCAAAATTCATTAAGGCCTAATTAAATTTTATCCTAGGTTTAGCCCTAGTTTGGAGGGGACAGTGAATTCCATAGTACTGTCTGGATTTGTGGCACTGGGTCAAGAGTTAAAGAATCAGAATAATACATGAAGGCTTGTTCAAAATTATCTAATTCTTCCTCATTTTAAAGATAACATTGACAATAAAACAACATTACATGTGTTAATAGCAGAACCTAACATGGAACAGGTCCACTATATTATATTTAAGTCTTCGGAGGTTATTGGAGAAGTGATTTTTGAGAAACTGCAATTTAGAGAGAAGAAATAACTTATTTTTGAGAGCTTTTGGAGACTTTCTAAAACTTGTGGGGTTTGCGATAGTAATAGGTAAAATTGTTGACTTGTAATTTAAACATTTCTTTTCACCATCATTTGTAGTACCAACATAGAGTTCCATACTTTGGATATAATGTGCCTTGCTTAGCTCATCTATTATTGGATGTTTAAATTTTCAATTCTTTTGTTTTATTTAGTAAACAAACACATAATTTTTTAAATAGCCAATAGGAAAGATGTTTAGATTCACTCAAAAATATCCCAAAGTCATCAAGATTTTTTCAGAGTCACCATGGACAGGTGGTTACTCCTTTATCATGGTCCTTCCTATTCCTTCTCATGTCTCAAAAGACTGTTTTTAAAGAGGTTTACCTTTTACTAAACTATTGTCTGGAAATTTCTCACAGGTGATTTGCTGAGGCTGCAAGATAAGGTCTCATGACTTCTGCTTTTCAACCTTCCCTGTCCTGGCTTCAGAGTTTATCCTTTCCCAAGAGCAGCAGAAAATGAACAAATTCCAGGTGAGTCATTTATTTAGTCCTTTCTTTCACTGTGTTTGTGTGTGTTATTTTCAATGGGTTTTTTGAAAAAAAATTTTATATTTTAAATTTTATTTTATTAAATTATTAAATTAGTAATTTATATTAAATATTAAATTTTAAAAATAAACAGTTAAAAATCACCTTCAAGGAAAATACTGTTTGACTAGCACAACTGTTCTAAAAGTGTAGTCCTCAGACTCCTGGGAGCCCTAAGACCTTTTCAATGGATCTGTGTCAGAACGTAATATTAAGATGCACATTGCAGTTTACAGTGTTGACATTCACACTGATGGTGATAAAAATGGTGAATAGATTTTTGCCTGTTTGGCATAAATTAAGACAGTAACACCAATAATGTTGCATTGCTCTGCAATGTGCATCTTTAAGGATATCCTTGATGAAACAGTAAAAATTGATTTTATTAAATCTTCACCCTTGGGTACATCTCTTTTTAATATTCATTGTGACAAAATGAGAAGTTCATGCAAAGTACTTTTGCTGCACCCTGAAGTATGATAGTTGTGTTGAGGAAAAAAAGGCACTTGTATGATTGTTTGATTTGTGAGTTCATCTAACCACTTTTTTCATGGAATACTACATTTACTTGAAAGAGCAACTGGCAGACAAACTGGTAATTCAGACTTGGGTCAGAACAAACATTTTTTCAAAAGTGAGTGCAGTGAGCCTGTCACTGAAAATAACTGTCACTATTTGTTGCCAAAGTTAAAATGTAAGCTTTAAGTGAAAATTAGAATTTGGGAAAACTTGTATCCTTCACTATCAACTTGACAAATTCTGACTTACAGACTTTTCTGATGAATTGGTGAGGGTATTACAAATGTGATATCTTTTTTTTATGTTATATAATGTGTCAACATTTGAGTAATATTTCTGATATGTGTGCACAGAGGCAAACTCCAGCCATTTATGATAACAGAGGGATACAGTGAAGTAAGAAACAAGGAATAAGTTGGTTAGGGAATGCCCACTCTAAAAAGTACTATTTGAGGAGAATTCTGAATTAAATGAGACAGGGATCCAAGTAGAAATAAGGCAGAAGGGCATTCTAGATAGGCGAAACAGCAAGTACAAACACCCTGAGGAATGTTCCAGAAACAGTATTTAGGGCATGGAAGCTAGAGAAAAATGACTTAGGGAAAGAAAGGAAAGAGGTAAAATCAAAGAGGTAAAAGGAGCTAGAATATGTAAGACCTTGTATGTTGTAGAAAACATTGAACTTTAAGTTTATTTTTTGGTTCATTAGAAAAGGAATGTACATAATGTTTACGTGTAATTTAGGGAACATTGATTAAGTAAACAGCAGCGTATCCCCTCTCTGGCTTCAATAAATTTGCTAATACCTTTGAAGCCCCTGTATGACCCTCTTTAATCTCTAACATTATTATTCAGAGAAAACTAATCTGAATTCAGTGGTAATCATTTGTTTTTATTTTTTTAAATATTTTATTTATTTATTTTTAGAGAGAGGGAAAGAGAGGGAGAAAGAGAGAGAGAAACATCAATGTGTGGTTGCCTCTCACGCGCGCCCAACTGGGGACTTGGCCCACAACCCAGGCATGTGCCCTGACTGGAAATCGAACCAGCAACCTTTTGCTTCTCGGTCCAGTGCTTTATCCACTGAGCCACACCAGCCAGAGCTACTTTTTAAGTTTAATTTTTAAAAACGTAATAGCTTACTTGGCAATCAATTAAATGCCTAGCCCTTTGCAAGCACTTGAGTAGTCTGTTTTACATAATCATCAAAGCCACCTTTTGAAGCATTATTATTACTGTATCATAAATTTTCATTGTGGACATTATCTGTCATTAATTAAAAACCGTAGCCTTTGGACCTGTTGATAGAGACAAACGCACTTTAGAAGGAGGGAGAAATGAAGTAGGACAAAGCTCAAAAAAATTAGCTTATTCTACAGTTGTACATCAACTTTGAACATATTTATATCTGTTATATGAAATTCTCCTAATCCGGAATTCATTCAGGGATGACACATGTTGTTTTTCCCTGCCTTATCTGTGTAACTAACTGCTGAATGGTCTGCGTGGGACAGCGAAGATGCCTAGTGAGGCTGTTTGTTTTTTGAAGTAACTTTATGTGCAATCATCATTGCCAACTCTTGTAAAAGTTTATTTTATACAGATACTAGAATTTTTTTGTTTGTTCACGGTCATTCTGACCAGATTAGATCTCTTTCTTATTTCTTTTTTCATTTCTCAAGTCCTACTGACAAACATTTCTTCTGTTTGGAAATAGCCTTTATAGTTTTTGTTTTTATTCTGTGTGCTTGTTTGTTTTAGTGAGGGTCTGCTGGTGGAAAATTCTCCATTTTGTTTATCTGAAATATTCATGAACTTTTTCACTGTGTATAGAGTTCTTGGTTGACAGTTCTTTAAAACATCGAAAAGCTGTCTTCTACTGTCTTCTACTACTGATGCTACTGAAAATTCACCTGTTGATTTTTCAGACCATTGAAGTAAATTTGTCTGTTTTGCACTAGCAATTTTTAAAATAGCTTTTACTCTCATGTGTTTATGTATGGATTTCTCTTTATCCTAATGAGGTTTATTGTATTTCTTTTAGTCTTAGTATTTGAATCTTTTGAGTGTTATATTGTATCTTCTTTATTGACTTTTAACTCTACTTTTTTGTGTTACTTTGTTTATTGCTTAGTCTAAAGATTACCATATACACCATTAATTTATCATGGTATCTTCAAATATTATACTTATTCATAAATGAGGTCATAAACTTTTATCAGCATGATCCTGTTTTCACCCTTCCCATCCTTGTGGTCACCCATTGTCTTATGTCTTACTTCTATATATATTTTTAATCATAAATACTTGTTATTTTTGTTTTAAACATGTATTAGCCTTTAAAACATTTAAGTATGTGTATATGTGTGTGTGTAAATAAAGTGGTTTTTTGTGTTACCTTTGCTTTGGTGCTCCTTGCCGGAGTCCCACTCCAGCAACCTTCAGGGTCCCACTGGAATGGACGGAGTCAGCACAGTGAAATGATGAGAGGTCAGGTATGGAGTTGCAGGCAGTCTGTCTGGAGCAAGCAGGCAGTCCTTTATTTATATTCAGACATTACATAAGTTGTGGTTAAGTACTAACATAAATCAGACATCGGTTCTTTCAGTTTCCCTCACCACATAGTCATGGGGTTTTAATGTCCCACTTGTTTTTACCTCTATGCTGAACTTTATTTCCATTACTCTTAGTCTGTATTTCTAACTAAGCATGTAAGTCCTAAAGCTTATACTGCTAAAGCATACTCAGCAAAGGTTATTTGCAGAAGCCTTGCAGAAGTCCTGCGGTGACCCCCGTCTGGCACATTTTCACTCATAATTTCTGATACAATACCAGCACCCTATTTCTTTATAATACTTATTTAATTGTTTCCTAATAGCATTCTGAGACCCCTTTGTTCTATAACACAAGGAGGGGGGTCCTGATCATGCCAAAGCCTCTAGGAAGCTCAATTCCTGCCACCTCACACGTTTTCCATTTTTCACTACCATTCTTTCTCCATCCACATATGCCCCTATGTAAGGCTGTTCAACAGTGGTTTCAGGCACCCACATTTACATTCCCCGTTGTACCCGGGCTTTATTTATCCCGGAGCTTCCTGTGTTTCCTCCCCGCCTGGGGGCTGCCCAATAGCCCTCAGGCTTGGGTGATTTTGTGGCTTGTATGAGGGCCTGCAATTCCTACCCTCTAATTTTCTTATAGACTTCTTTAAATGGGGTTCAGGGCTTAGTGGTCAATTCTTTTTTCCCCTGCCCTATTTGTCTCATTCCCTGGAATTCCCGCAACACCATACAAAGGGGCTGTTCTATAAGCAATCAGGCATACCCCCAAGAGGGGGATTATAACCTTAAGTAAACAGGAAAGTCCCAAGAGTCGAGCTTCTGGACGTCTGCCTTGCAATTGTCCATGTCCCTCTGCGACCTTGTCAAACAGCAGGGCTAGGTCGGCTCCTGGCAGCTCCTTATTCCTTTTTACACACCTGGGATTTTCTCTGTATTTTCCCTTTAGACTGAGCAACTTATTTTGTAATTTCATGTAGCTCAGAGTTGATGGTAACAAATTCACTTGGCTTATCTTTCTGAAAATGTCTTTATTTCACCATGATTTTTGCAGGATATTTTGCTGGATGGAAAATGCAATATCAAGTTTTCTTTGTTTTGCATTTTTTAGGATGTCTTTGTCTTCTGACTTTTGCTGTTTCTGATGAGAAGTCAGAATCTTTATCTTACTGTTATTCACCTGAACATAATGTGTCTTTCCCTCAGGTTGTGATTAAGATTTTCAATTAATCTTTAGTTTCCACAGTTAGACTGTAATATACATACATATGATTTGTTTTGCATCATCTTGAAGGATGATAAAAATTTGTGGATTGTTGTCTTTTATCATCTTAGAAAATACTTGGGCATTCTTCACATATTTTCTTTGCCCCATCCCCTTTTGTGTTCATAAAATTCCAATTACACAAACGTTGGACTATATACATATTGTCCCATATGTCTCAGGTGCTCTATTTAGTTTGGCAGGGTATTTATTTATTGCCCTTTAGTTGACATGTTTCTGTTGGACTTTTTTTTTTTTTTTTTTTTTACTTCACGGCTTCCTTCTGCTCTCTCGATTATCTAACTCATAAGTTCATAAAATTCACTTTTGATATTGTAAGTTTTAATTTTAAAAATTCCTGTTTTTTTCTTTTTTGTTTTATTTGCTGAAATTCCCCCATCCTTTTCACTACATCATTTTACATCATTATCGTAGTTATTTTAGTTCTTACCTGCTAATTCTAATTTCTAGCATATCTGTGGATCTGCTTTAATAGGCTTTTTTCTTTGAGTCAAAACTTTCTGCTTCTTTGCATGTCTCTTAATTCTTTATTATGTGCTGGATATGGTGTGTAAAAATACAGTAGAGATTGAAATAAATAT